CACAAAGGGGAAAGAAGCCTACCTTCAAGCGCTCTACTGAGCTAGCATCAAAGAATATTATCGTTGGCAGTAGTAGTGGTGGTGCGCAGCGAGCTAATCGATCAGCTGCACCACCATCACCACGCTCGCGTTCAGGCCGCCCCATCAAGCTGCCAATCAAATATCAGTAGATAGATCAAATAAACAATACTACGAGATTACTATACTAGAGTTTCTCGCGATAATAGCTTTTATGTAGAGCTCTACAGCTTCAAGTTTGTGATAGTACTGTTGGGGAGAAATCCGGCGTTGGCCCGTCCGCGGCGTTGGCCCGTCCGGCACCTCTAATGATGGGTTGATGGCTGAACTCGGAGCTTGCCGGCGATCCCTGCATGCCTGCCAACCAGGTATTCTGCACGCACTACCACATACGTACACGACAGTCGCCCAACTATTTCAGAAAGGAGAATCGCAAAGATAATATTCTACATAGACATACTATGTTCCGTGTATAGAAACGCCCAGGCGTTAAGAATACAGCAAACGAGGGCAAAGATCATCTTCTAGTCGTACAACACCATCACCATGTTCATGCCTGGCCATGTATGCGTACACTCCAATCGTATATACATCCATCTCTTAAGCCACCATCACTCCGCTACTTCTAGCACGACCATATGCCAACTGTGCCATCCTTGCGTCCTTCCACGAGATAGCCATCTTTGATTCTCACGTGCTCAATGATGGAGTGTGTTGTCGTGTCTTCTTCGTTGGCACCGGGTCCACAGTCCCAGTGTCTACCGTCCGTCTTGTCGTAGACCTTGACCACGCCCTCGCCAGCTGCACTGACAATACGACGCGAGTCGAACATCATGCTGGTTACAGGGTGGTCGTAGGCGTAAGCATCGGCGATGGCGCCAGTTCGGAGATCCCAAATCTAGATTCCAGGTTAGCGGCATGATTGTGTGTAAGACTGACCCCAACTTACGCGAATGCTCCTATCGGCGCTACCGGTGACAAGGTGAACATCGTCGAATTGCAGAGCAGTGACAGGGCCAGTGTGGCCAACTAGACTCCGGTGTACCTGACCGCTTCGCAGATCCCACAGGCGAACCATTCCATCTGCGGTACCACAGGCGAGTGCAGCATCAAAGACTTGGATGGCTCCGACAAAATCAGCAGCACTGTCAGTAGCGCGGCCAGTCTGCTTCCATCCACTGTTGGTCGTGTTTGCGGCGGTTGCTTGCGCAGCGGCCCAGAGCACATCCAGCGTTTGCACACAGCGTCCTTTGACAAGATCCCATTGCCTGAGCGTCTTGTCAGCAGAACCAGAAACCAATGTGTCGCCGCGGAAGTGGAGTGCCGTGACTTCGTCAACGTGCGATTCCAGAGAAAACATGGGGCAGTCTTGCATGCTAGTCGACGGCGGCGCGGGGGGCGCGTCTTCTGCGTTTTCGAATGCGAGACCGTCATCACTTTCCTCATCTTGCTTGTTTATCCGATTGTCCATAGGCGCATACTCGGCTTTGCTCAGATCCCACAACCGTATCGAAGCGTCCATCGAACCAGTGGCGACAATGTTGTCCTCGACCTGAAGGCAGCGCACCGAAGAGAGGTGACCCTCGAGCATTCCTATGCACCGTCCAGCACTGAGGTCCCATACGCGTACGGTATCATCCAAGGCAGCCGAGACCATCATGCCCCACGGCGCGTCAAAGTCCATAGCTGTGATAGATTCCATATGTGCCGGCAGTTCCTTGATCTTAGATCCTGATTGCAGATGCTCGTGCAGAACGGGCATGGACATGCGCTTTGAGAGGCGCTTGGCCTTGCCTCTTGTCTTGGGCGATGAGGGTATCTTTTGGTATATTGACTCGGACATGAACTCGCCCTTGCCTTCTGACTGCTCATCACTTGTTTGCGATCCTGCTGTCTTGGGTGCTAAGGCCGCCTCATCGTCCAACTCTTCCTGCAGGTCCTCGATCTGGTTATCCACAGTTAACAGATCCTGCTCCAGCTCCCCCTCTTCGAGTTCGAGCCCCGCCAGACGATCAATGACCATTTTGCGCATCGTGTTCAGGTTGGCAATCTTGTTGTCGATTTCATGAATCTCGGCCACGCACATGTGCTTGCGCACGCCCATCATCTCGAGACGGTGGGCCATTGAGCTCCGCTGCGTCTTGAGCTTGCGCATCGAGGGGGGTACACTGGGGTCGTCATCTTCGACGCCGGCGCCTATCAGTCGCTGGCCGCGCGCGTTGTGGCGGGCGCCTGAGGAGCAGGGGAGGATGCTGTTGGGCTTGTCTGGCAGCGAGGCCTCGAAACCCTGGAACAGCGAAAACTCGCTATTATCTTCTGGAATATTTGCGAGCAGGTCGTTTGGGATGTAGGCGAGGGCGCGCTGCTGGATCTCGGGGACGGATATGCGCGAGCGCACGAGCTCGCGGGGTGTGGTCTGGGCAAAGGAAAAGACGGAGCGCTGCATCAAGGGCCGTCGCAGCTCACGATGGAGCTCGCCGAGGGCGTTGTGATAGTGCTGGGAGACGCCCTCTGCGCCAATTAGACTGCCAGCCGTCGCCGTGACTTTTTTGCCAAAGGCCTGCAGATGGCGGGTCTAGCGAGCATGTTAGCACGACGCTGTGTGCGGCGGGAGAAATTGCAGTGGGGCTGTCTACATCTGGCAGCGAGTCTATAAAGCTTGCTTCTTCGGGGCGCTGCGGGTGGTGCTGGTTATTCTGTTGGTGTTGCTGGTCATCGTCAAAGTGCTGCGAGTATCTGGGGGAGCGCGGGCTGGTGGAGCGTCCGCGGGCTGGTGATCCATTGCGGGCGGTTGACGAGGCCATCCGAGCGCTGGTGGGTGGAGGGGGCGGGCGAGCAGGCGGGCGGGACGGTGACGAGCAAACGCAGTAGTGCAACGGGCTTGGTTATGTCATCATCCACCGATGGTAGCAGAGGGGCAGGCCGGAAGGGCGGCGGGCGTGAGGTCAAGGGCGTGTGAGGCGCGATAGTATCTACTGAGGGCATGGATACGAGCGACAGGCCTTGTCCTTGGTGTTGGTCGGCATTCCCGCTGCGTCATCCGCCGAAGCTCAGCGCCGATGGTCGGGTCTTAGTCTGACCTGTATGTCCTGTCTAACACATCGCTGGCCACCATGGCTATCTTCTCTGACATATACCCTCGCGCTGTTCCCGCCGTCTTCCCACTATGGACGCTGCCATTGACCTCTCCGATGCCTCCAAGGCGCTCGACCTT